TTCCAAATACCATATATGCTCTACCATATCTGGATCATAACGTGCTATTGAAATCTTTTGGAACAACTCCCTCACAGTTAATTTATCTATGTCTACATGCCAGTACCAACACTCTCCATCAACATATTTAAGTCCATTATCCTGTATTAACCTACCACCTATATGAATAAACAGCACATGCTTCTCGATCCCCCAATCACCCTATTCAATAATGCAAATAAAAAATTCAATATTTTACATAATAAGTGCATCTCAACGACCAAGTTTAATGACAATAAACAATAAAAAACATAAACGAATTATAGAACCTTATTACTTCCATACAGGTAAACAAACTGACCCATGAAAAACACATAAGGTGGGGACCAGATGCCCTTTTTCAGAAAGTAAGTCAATAAACAGATATTCGTAAACCCCACTTTACCCACTTTCTTACTACACTCATCAGACACCAAGACAATAACAAGACAACCCCACCCATTAAGCATAACCTTCACACATCTCAAAAGAAGATTCGTGGACAAAAAGCGTACCTCATTCCCGCTGCCATCTAAATCCCCTTCCAGGTTGATATCTATGATTTCTGCAGACATTGCTTCTCATTCAACGATCGATCACGACAAAGAGTAAGAAGACTCGATTGAAAGGCGAATCCACAGAAAAAGAAGAGATATTGCTCTGTTAGGGATTGTTTTTAAGACAAAAATAGAAAGGAAAAAGGAATGATCGATTTTAGGGTTCTAAAAAAAAATAATTTAAACTTCCCCTTTGTCTGAGATTGGGGTTTTTTTTTTTCATTTTGCGCGCGAGAGAGTGACGTGGCGAGTGACGTGGAAGGTGTCAGAAGTCCACGTAAGCATTTTTAACATGTTGGCATACCCACGTCAGCTGTTCTAGTTAAGTTAACGTGCCACGTGAGAAAAATTTGACGGAGGAACTAAAAAGGGGCCGAATTTTAAAGTTTAGGGATCAAAAAAGGGATTTTTTCGGTACAGGGACCAAAAAAGGGCTTTTTCTTATAGTAGAGGGACCAAAAAGGGTATTTAACCTACTTTTTTCGTGGGCATTCTATTGTGTCTCCAATAGTGTTTCATGTTTCTCCAAAAAAAATTTGGCATTGTCGCTTGGGTCATCCTAGCTTGTCAACCTTTGGTCATTTAGTTAATCGTAGTTCCATTCTCACCAATAAATTAGCTAGTTCTTCTAGTTTATGTCATGCTTGTCAATTGGGGAAACATGTTAGACTCCTCTTTCAAGATTCTTTATCTGTTAGTTCTGCACCATTTTAGTTAATTCATTCTAATGTTTGGACCTCTCTAACTCATTCTTTTGGAGGTTTTAAATATTATGTTCTCTTTCTAGATTATTTTTCTCATTATATTTGGGCTTAGCCCCTTCAATCTAAGTCTGCTATTTTTTCTTATTTCCTTCAATTTTTTGCCTTTGTCACAACACAATTTGGTGCTCAAATTAAGTCTCTGCAATTTGATAATGGGAAAGAATATGATAATATGCAATTTGCACTATACTTTCAAAAACATGGCATTCAATTACAATCTTCTTGTCCCTCGACTCCCCAACAAAAGGAGAAAGCCGAGTGCATGAATAGAACTATAGGCAATATGCTTCATTCTCTTCTTTTTCAAGCAAATTTACTTGGAAAATTTTGGATGGAAGCATTACATGTTGCTATTCATCTTATCAATATTTTACCTACTTCCAAGTTACATTTTTAACCTCATTTGAGGTTCTTTACGGCAAAGTTCCCACTTATGATCACCTACAAATTTTTGGGTATGCTTGTTACCCACATATATTTGCTACAGCCTCATATAAGTTGGCCCTGAGATCAGCTCTTTGTATTTTTCCAGGTTATTCCAAGCATCACCAAGGTTACAAGTGTTTGAATCTGGCTACTAATCAAGTGATTATTTCATAGCATGTGATCTTTGATGAGACACAATTTCCATATGTTGATAGCAACAATATTCAAGTGCCTTCAGCTTCTCAGTCCTTGGGTTTTCAGCAACCTTTTAATCTCATAGACAACATTGTTCCTACTGTGCAACGTTCTTATTCTATAGGTTTTTCAAAGGTCTCATCTCCTATTATTTCTTCATCGTCCAATGGGCCCTTTAAATCAAGTCCGGTCCACTTTCCTAATAATGTTACTTTGGAGTCCATCTCTATCTCACCGGCCTAAGTCCAAGCTTCATCTCCTACTACTTTGTCTTCACCTAGACATGCTCATTTAATTGAACATGTTACAAGTTAGTGTGTTCCATCTACAACATCAGCTGTTGATTCTTCTCAGACCTCAACTCCTCTACAAACTCATGGCATGATTACTCGTTCTCAAGATGGCACTCAAAAGGTACACCATTTGCCTTCTTTACTTTCTCACTCAGTTTCTATTATTGAACCCAAAACTTTTGCTTAAGCTATCCATTCCCCTAAATGGTGTAAGGCTACGGAAGATGAATATTCTGCCTTGTTAAAAAATAATACTTGGGATTTGGTTTCGTGCCATCTTGGTGTGAATCTTATTGGCCCAAATGGGTCTATCTTATTAAACAAAAATCAGATGGTTCCATAGAAAGATAAAAGGCTTGTCTAGTGGCTCAAGCGTATACATAGCAGCCTAGGATTAACTATGATGATACTTTTAATCCAATGGTTAAGCTGGTTACTATTTGAATAGTTTTGACTTTAGTTGTTTCTCAATCTTGGCCAATTCATCAATTGGATGTTAAGAATGCTTTTCTTAATGGTAATCTTACACAGCCTGTGTACATGAGACAGCCTCTTGGTTTTGTTGATATTTCTCAACCTGATCTTGTTTGTCAATTGAAGGCGCTTTATGGTCTTCATCAGGCACCATGCGCTTGGTTTCAGTGATTTGCCTCTTTTTTACTCTCTTTGGGTTTTGTTCAGGCAAGGACTGATTCCTCTATGTTTGTTTTTCACACTCATGACTCAATGGCCATTTTATTGCTCTATGTTGATGATATTATTCTCACTACTTCACACTCATCTTTGTTGTCTTCCATTATTGCCTTGTTAGAGAAAGAATTTCTCATGATAGACTTGGGTGATTTGCATTATTTTCTTGGAGTTATTATAAAGGGAATTCCCAAGGATTATTTTAAAATCAGTTTAAATATATTCTTGAACTTCTTAATCATAGTGGTATGTTAAATTGTAAGGCAGTTGCTACTCTTCTTGATTCTCACAAGAAATTGTCTACTAATGATAGTTCACAATATACTGATCCTTTTGGATATTGTAGCTCAGTTGGTGCATTGCAATATGTTACCTTCACTCGATCGAATATCTCTTTTGTAGTTCAACAAGTCTGTCAGTACGTGCATGCCCCTACTATTTTTCATTTTCAGGCTATCAAATGCATACTTCGTTACTTGAAAGGGACTTTGCATCATGGCCTTCAACTTTGAAAAGCCACATCATTGTCTCTTCATTTGTTCACTAATGCTAATTGGGAAAGCTGTCTAGACGCACACAGATCTACTTTTGGTTTTTGTTGATTTTTGGGCAATTCTCTTATTTCTTGGTCTTCTAAGAAATAGTCTACCATTTCCAGATCTAGTGCAGAGGTTGAGTATAAGGCTATTACCAATGCTATTGCTAATGTGGGTTCAACAGTTACTGTTTGAATCGCATTACTTAACTTCTATACTTGCTGTTCTCTACTGTGACAATATTAGTGCTTTATTTATGTCAGCCAATCCCATGCAACATCAGCATACTAAACACATTGAAATTGATTTGCATTTTGTGCAAGAATAGGTTGCCTCTGGTTTCATTACTTTGCACTAAGTTTCATCTTGCAACCAATGGGCAGATATTCTCACTAAGGCACTCTCTGTGCAACACTTTCGTAATCTTTATGATAATTTGTGCATGCTTCCTAAGCCCACTCAAATTGAGGGGGGATGAAAGATAATAGACAAATCAATTTGCATTATATTCTATTGTATTTGGCCCATGATATAGCTTTGGCCCACTACCTCATCTATATATACAGACAAAATTCAGCAAATAATACGATGCAAGATTCAATTCTTTAGGGGAGAATGAGCAAGATAATTAAGGGTTTGACAATAGAGAGGAGGCCCCTTAATTTAGTATGGGAGACAACTTCTCCTATTATCTGAATGTCTACCCCCATTTAGTAAATTAATTTAGTATAGTTCAGCACAATTTGAACAGATTGCACTAAACATTTTTATTAACAATAAAGAATGTTAATTAAAGTATAAATTGCATATTTACAATTTCAAGAGTGAAATTAGGAGAAGAACATTCGGAAGCTTATGACTCTTACTAATTAAGGCCACCAGCAAAATTCAGCCATGTTCCAGCCCTCCTTCCCAAGACCAAAGGTGTCGTATTGGGGCTTGTCATCAACCGCAGTCCCTCGCTTCCCAAGCTCATGGTTGCTGTTTTTATTCGGCTCCTTCTCTGCTCGTTCCTCGCTAAGCGAAAGATTCTCGAGACAATCACAAGACTGGCGTCGGATCCAAAGTGCTTCTGCTAACAAAACTAACGAGGCCATCTCCCTTGAGACGTACGTCACAGACTATATATCATGCCATATAAAGATTGAGTTTCTCAGCTCCCGTCTCTTCCTATATATATATATATATATATATAAATCCTGCCCCGCTTCTACGTCTTTTGAAATGTTCTTATCATTTCGTGAAAGAATTTGAAAGCGAGTGACGTTGGAAATTATTTGTGTTCTTCTCTTTTCATTGTTTTAGGTAAACAAAATTAGGTGGGAAAAATGAATGGAGAGTAAACAATTTACCTTTTTAACATAAACATTTAAGTTTTGAAATGCTTAGGACAAGATTGTCATGTTTTAGTAATGTAGGACTGTAGGAGTAATCAAGAAATAGTAATTTCTAAATAATGACTTTTCTAATTTTTTTCCATTTGTTAAAGAGAGATTCAAATTTAAGAAACAGTTGAGAATTTTTTCATGGGATTATAATTCTTGGCATATAAGTTCTAGAGGATTGCCTACGTATAGGCTTTTTTTAGATATTTATATCAGTCAATTAGAGCGGCTGACCAACTTGAATTTGGAATTTGTGGGCTTTGTGGATTATCATGAAAATGACATGAAAAATGTATTGATAAACCAAGATGGGTGAACAATCTTATCAACATGCATGGTTCAACCAACACATACTCATTTTAGGAAAATCTACCTAGATAAGTTTGTCCTAGATAAGTTTGTCCTAATATGGTCTAACGCATGTTTTAAGCAGACGTGATTGATTGTTAATTTGCACCAAGAAGAAAGGGTGTGTTTTAGCAAAAGGCACCAATGTGGTTGATGGAACTACCATGACTTATGATGAGTCAATTTGTCATAGTTGGTAAGATTGGAATTTGACAATTATTAACTATTGAGTTGCACAATAAAATACAACTCTCTTTCGTATATTAACTCACATTATCTATATCTTATATGAATTAAAATTAAGACCTCTTATTTTTACGGTAAAAAAATTACTATTAAGTTATTTAATCCGTTCGCTCTAACTTACTTTTATAAATATAAAATATAAGCATCAATTTTGTGAACATAATTGGGTCAAATGATTGTGACAAGAAACCAATTTGTAGATGAAGGTAATTCACGATCTTGGTGTCATGTTATTGTCCTAGGTATACCTACTTGCATCAATGACCATTCCACCATCACGTGTGACTAATTTTGATCAGATCCATCTATTGTTTTTACTATTATGGATTTTGTCAAACTTAGTCTTTAAACAAATTGATATATTAATTGTATATATCAATGAACAAATGATGTTTCAAGTTCTTATAATTTTATTTGTAATTTTAAATTAGAGGTTTCGAGTTTTAACTATATATAAAAAGTCACAAAATATATAATTATGTACATTGTGTACTAGTTTTACATAATATAATGTTACAATGTAGAAATTAATCGTTGTAGTCTCAATGTACTAAATTAATTAAGCTTACACAAACTTTACAAGGTACGCCAAATCCAAAATGTACTTCCTATTTTTTCAAAAAAAAAAAAAAAAGCAAAATAAAATTTTACTACTTTAGGGGGGGCGGAATGAATTCTACATTTCTACAAACGAATCAGTTGTGCTTAATTAAGCCAAAAGATTCTTAGTTAATCCAAATTGGAATTCAGCCTTGCAACTTCTGCTATTCCCCCTATGTATACATCAAAGTAAAATTATGTCCCTATAAACGCCGCGGTTTAGATCAACGAAGTCACCTTTTGATCACCGGCACCAGCCGGATGAAGCTTAAAGGAGTCAAGACGGTTGTTGGCCAGCCGGAGAGAGTACACTACTTTCTTGTATTCACCCCAAGTGAATGGCCTATAGAGACTTGGATTTTGGGGTGACACCATTTCTGGCAGAGGAGAGATCCATGCATTAAGCGGCGGCGCCCCAAAAAACATCATCGACATTCTTGGCTTTACCGACGAGTTTGCTACCACCCTATGCCTCACGCTCACAAATCTCCCATTCGTTAAGGCCTATGGACAAAAAATATTCAATTTAGGAGGTTTATAAAATAAAATGACTCCTTGTGAGAAAATAAATTTTTATATAAAGCATTAGTTAATACAAGTCTCTAAAATATTATCTCTAAAAATAATGATAAAACAAAAGAAATTTATACAATTAATGATATAATATGAGTTATGTTATTTAAAATATTAAAAAATAAATTTTATATTATTTATATATATTAACTCATTAATTAATATAACTTATTTCATATAATTGATTTTAAATTTCAATCCTCTATATTGCTACTCTATGGCTAAAGCACAAAAGTGGTATTATAAGGATAATATTTTTATATCACATTTTTATACAATTTTTACATGTCATTAAATGAATTGATACATTTAATATTACGTGTCACACATAAATTAAAAAAATTAATTAATTTAATGATACGTTAAGTTGTATAAAAAAATGAAATAAAAAAATTATACAAAAATAATTTCGCAAAGCACAATCTGCATATAAATCTAAAAATTTTATTTAGGAGAAGTTAAAATCACAACCTTAAAATTGCAATAAATGGTAACATCCCAAAAAGAAAAACTTGTAATTAATGGAAATGAAACAATTATGACAGAATTTCCTAAATAGTAAGTTCATGAGGAAACAATGATTAGTACTGACCTGTAAGGCATCACCTACGATGACGTAGAATTGGGTGGGGTCAGGAGGGACTGGGACCCAGAATCGATCATCATGCAAGCAGATTTGAAAGCCATCTACGTCGTTGGATCGTAAGATGGTCAAGATCTGAGGGTCGGAATGCTCCCCAAATCCAATCTGATCATCGGTTCTGGTTAGCTTTGATGATGGGTCCCAATCCTTGATTGATGGGTAATGATTGAGTCTAATGAGGGAGTCACTATCAACGTCTCTGATTAGCCTACTGAAGACGGTCCTATCACCGATCCATAGACCTTGCGCCATTAGATCAAGAACCTCGCATGCTAATGCCCGTACCTCAGTTATGTAACCATTAACAATGCCACTGCCAAAAAAACCAAAAAAAACCCCAAAAATGAGAAAGTTTTCTTCTTTTTTTTTTTCTTAAAAAAAAATTATGGATTTAATCGGGAAGTTATTGATGTATATTACAATACATAAACCTTTTATGGCAAAGTAAGAAATTATTAAATAACTAATATTATCAAAAAAAGAAATAATTTAATAATGATATCATCACCGGCCAACACTTGCCGGCGGCTTGCCGGGGACAAAGTGGATCTTGTTCTTCCACTGGGTGGTCCGACAAAGACACATCTACTTTTCCAAGATATTGTTTTTTTAGAACTCTTGTAAATAATGCATTTTTTGAGGGAAATAGAAAATTGTTTAAATATGGAACCTTTTAATTTATATGCTTCATATTCAACCCTTTTTTTTTTTTTGTATAATTTAGTTGGATATATAGACAACTTAATTATTGTAGTACTCCTAGTAATAAGATAGTTTATCACAAGCTCAATTGTAGGGGTTGCACGTGTGGCAATGTTTGACTTTGTGTTTTCTTTTTTACTTATTTTCTTATACCTAGAAAATGAAATAAATTAAACAAAATAATTACTGCTACCATGACTTTCCATTTCCCTGTTTGGACAAGAAAGATTGAAAGATGGATTTTCAACTAACTCATGGTTATCATAATATTATCATAAAAGAGAATAGTAGTTCTATTTTTATTAATTTTAATTTTTAAAAATAAATTAACGTCTTCATTATTATGCAAGTTTAAAGATAGAAAACTAAATCTGAACTGAGGTAGCCGATTCCGAGAAAACGAAAGAAATAGACAGAATGATTAGAATAATTATAAGGTAAACATTTTTACATAGGTAGAAATAATAAATTATATCCAAAGGAAGAAGACGTCCCTTTCTAATTAAGATAGATACCAAGCGTTAATACTAAAAAAGCATGTCCACAATTAAATTCCCATGAATAC